AGCGACACACAACACGTTCGAAGGCTTCGTACAGGAGTCGAATCTGGAGTTCTATCCTATTGGCGGGGATCCTAAAGAGCTCAGTATGTTGATGCTGTAAAGGTCCGTTCGTACCTCGTTAACATGCAGCAGTGGCGTACATGGTCAAGAACCCAGGGTTAATACCGTCCATGAAGAGCCTTCGCGAAGGCGATATCCAAAAGAAAAGGGAAATGATCGCCGAGATGCTCTATGGCTGCTGGCAGTCATGTATTGAACCGGACATCAAAACTCAACAGCCGTTTGTGGCAGACGCAATCATCGCCAATCCGCCTAGTTTCGCGCATGTACACTGTGCCCAAGCTTTGGGCATCCCACTCCATCTTATGTTTACCATGCCTTGGAGCAGTACCCGAGCCTTTCCGCATCCACTGGCGAACTTCAAGAGCGACGAAATCTCGACCGCTCTCATCAACTATGCATCGTATGGCGTCGTCGAATTTCTAACATGGCAGGGTCTGGGTGATGTCATCAATGGATTCAGACATTCCTTGGACCTTGAAGAGGTGCCACTATCAGTCGGACCTGTACTTGCTTCTGCACTCAAAGTGCCCTTTACGTACTGCTGGTCTCCGGCCTTGGTCCCGAAGCCAGCTGATTGGGCAGCGCATATCGATGTTTGTGGTTTCTTCTTCCGCGAACCAACGCCGTACACGCCGCCTCCGGAAATTGATCAGTTTCTGAGGAATGGGCTTCCACCAGTCTACATCGGCTTCGGGAGCATCGTTCTCGACGATCCTGCAAAGGTGACATCAAGCATCCTGGAAACCGTGCGCGCCCTAGGTATCCGGGCGATCATCTCTAGAGGATGGAGTAACCTTGGGGGTGACTTACCAAACGACAACAACGACGTTCTATTCATCGGCGACTGTCCCCACGAGTGGCTGTTTCAGCATGTTGCAGCGGTCGTACATCACGGCGGAGCAGGTACGGCTGCATGCGGACTACGTAATGCATGTCCTACTGTTGTCGTACCGTTCTTTGGAGACCAGCCGTTTTGGGGAGAGATGATAGCAGCAGCGGGAGCCGGTCCACAGCCTATTCCCCACAAACTTCTGACGACCGAAAACCTTACAGCGGCTATCCACTTCTGTCTCACGCGCGAGGCAAAGCAGGCCGCACGGGGCTTATCTTCGCAGATGGCGAACGAGCGAGGCGTCGAGGCAGCAGTACAATCTTTCCACACCAATTTGCCTTTCGAGACTATGCGATGCGCACTGCTACCTACACAGGTGGCATCGTGGAAGGTCAAGAAAGAATCCATCCTTCTTTCCAAATTAGCGGCACAGATACTCATCGAGAATGGTTCCATCGTTCCCTCCGATCTCGAAAATCATGAAACGGCTCCTTTCATCATCACCAATCCACGTTGGGATCCCATAACAAGTACAACTTCGGCGTGTGTTGGCATTGTCGGAGACATGAGTATGGCAATGAAGGGCATGGTTGTGGATCCGTTCATTGAGCCCAAACACCCTGCTATGTCCTCGGGCGCCTCACCATCTTCCGAGAGGCCGGGTTCAAACGGCGTGGCTGCAGCAGGTCGTTTTGCAAAGGGCTTTGGTAGATTTGTAGGTGCATTCTACAAAGGTGTCGTTGTCGACCTCCCCCTCGCTACCGCAGAAGGTTTTCGCAACGTGCCAAGGTTGTATGGTGAAGAAGTCAAAGACCATGGGGAGGTCACTGGCGCTCTTTCTGGTTTCCAAGTTGGTGGCAAGACCTTCATCCATGGCTTCGCCGACGGTCTCTCGGATCCCTTCCGTCAAACGTACGAGGGCGGTAAGAAAGAGGGCGCGATCGGGTACGCGAAGGGCTTCGGCAAAGGAATGTCCGGGCTGGTTACGAAAACTGGCGCAGCAACCCTTGGGATCATAGCATACCCTGGAGATGGCATCGTGAAGAGTATGAAATACTTGGCGAAAAGCGGCACGAGAAAGCGCATCAAGGCGGCAAAGCGGGTAGAGACTGAGTGGATGGGCCGAAAATCCGAGGCTGACCTGAGAGCTGTGGAACTCGTTCAAGAGTTCGAGAGGCTAAGGAAGGGCAAGACGAAGGTGAAGACGTAAGGGGCGGGATGATCTGTGGCGTTACGAACTTTTGAGTCTGGACATATACCCTATTCGATTGATTATTTCTTTACCTCGCGAAACCAGAGGTGCCTACTCACCTTCGTTCAGACGTGTGGTCACGGCGAACGGCCACTCCCTTGCTAGCACCTCATAGAAGAAAAAGGCCGAAAAGGTCTGGAGCCTACATCGGCATTAGGTCACGTACTCTGCGTGTTTTCATGTTGCTGTAGGCTGCAGACCTATCCAGTTTTTTCCCACGTTGACCTGCCTGGGAGCGCGCAACGAGAAGGTGGGTCCACTGGGCTGCCTAATTTCCGTAATCTCGTAGCGCGCTAAGGGAGGTCAGGGGGGCCGGGGCTGAATCCCGTTCGCACTCCGCCGCCGTCTTACCAACCCCGTCACTGGTCTTCTTCGCATTCAGACTGATTACCTGAAATACAGTCAACATCCTATCATGGAAACGGACGCAGTAGGCAAAACTCCTGCGCCGTACGGCCAGGCGTGTAGCAACTGCGTGAAAGCGAAATGCCGGTGTATGTTACGCGACGGCGGTATTTGCGACAGGTGCGCCATTCCTTTGATCAATGTGCTCTCTTTGGTGCAATCTTACTCGGAGATGGGAAGGAGTCTGCGCATCGTGTTACGACAGCATCTCATACAAGAAAAAACTTGGATAGGTCTGGGGCCTACATTGACGTTGGGTCACCTATTTTGCATGCTCCCATGTTGATGTAGGCTCGCTGGTGTTCAGTGTTTTCCTTAAATGAGGTGACAGTGGAAATGAACGACAGTGGAGTTCTCTGTCGCTTCCATTTGCTACCCTCTGCGCGTACAGCTTATCTCGGGGATCTTGAGGCTAAATTGTAACAGGTGTCATCGCCTAGGAAAAGAGTGCAAAGCCTCATCTGCTGTGCGCAAGAGGGCACAAAGATCGAATCTGCCGCCCAGAAGGTCGAAATTGGAGGACAAACTCGATGAAGTCGTCTCTTTGCTTCGAACACAGCGCACAGCGGCCCTCACGACATCACCCAATGATCAACTCGTGCTAACACCCGACTCCTCTACGATTCCTCACCAAGAGACCAATGGTCTTGACAACGACGAACACTTGTCTAGTGATCAGTTGCACGACTTCCGGATGAGTTATCTGTACTATTTCCCCTTCATCCCTATGTCAGAGAATGCTACCACAGATGAGATTTATCTCAAATACCCGCTATTTTGCCATGCTATCCGCACAATGCTCACCAAAGCAGCAACAAAGCAAAGCCAGTTGAGCAAGCACCTACGAGAACAATTGGCTTCCAGGATCATTGTGCAGGGAGAACGAAGCATCGACTTGCTCTTAACTATCATTATGTGCATAGCTTGGTAAGGAAGCAGGTTGTGTGTAGTGTTTCCAACTTTAATGCTGTTAGGTCACCGTACTTCACCCATGGAAAACAGTTCCTGGGCTCCATGTGCGGTCTTGCAAAAACGCTGATTAGCGATCTTCGACTCGACAAGCCCACACAACCCACGGGATGTCCAAGCCTAGGTCCTCGTGTGGATAACAAGGAAGTTCGGAAGACCGAGGGCAGTAGAGCATTTCTATCTGTTTTCATATTATGCGCCAAGTAAGTTTGCAAGTACACTCATCGTGGCTCAACTGACGCTAGAAGTGTTGCTGTTATCTTCGAATATGACCTGATGCTCTGGTCGTCGCAGATCGAAGATGCATGCGATCACCTCAGTAAGAACAGAGAATGTGAAGGAGACGTCATACTGGTCGCCGCTGTGCGCCTGGCAAAGATTGTTGTCAGTGCCGCCGAGGTATCACGAAGAGCTTCGGATGATCACAATACAGCAAGGCATGCTATGATGGCTATTGACCCTCTAATATTGGCGCTCAACAACTTCAAAAGTTCACTTCCTATTGAGATTCTGCAGCACTGTAAGATCATCGTTCCGTCACCTGTTTCAGCGCTCAAATTACTCCAGGGTTAATTATCGGTCTCACTCAAACCGCCCAGGTTGCCATCTACGATCTTGCGCTCTTAACAACGCCTACAGATGAGCTATCAGTGTCGCATCTAGCCTTCGAGCCTAGGCGCATCGAGTATTTTATGGCGCTTCTAGAGACCAGTAAAGCCTGCCGAGAACATGCTTGGAATGGCGGAGTCATAGGTCTGACGGCTCCATCGATGCTCGTATTCTCGTATTGTATCAAGACCTTGTACAGATTCGCCAGCCTGAAAGGAATCCCAGACTGGGTACCACCCATCGTTCAATCAAGCTTTGACATCGTGCAATGTCTAGAGAGGTTTGCCGAGATTGCTGAGCAGGCTAATACGGAATTCAAGGCCAAGACAGGCGAGGATTCTCTATTTGCTGCGGCTGCGGAAACGCTAAGGACTATGGCACCAAATTGGAAACTTCCCACGACGGAGCACGATGATGACATGGGTAACACAGCGGATGGATGGAGTGGCGGGCTTGGTGATTTTGGGGCACTGGACTTTTCGAGCGACTTCTGGATGCCTAGCGTTTTCAATCTTTGAGCTTTTCCGAAACCCGCTCTGCGAAACCCGCGCAACTTCCGAAACCCGCACACGTGTGACTGTGCGACTTCCTGCTATGTATACCGTTCAAATTTGCTCTTGCCTGATCATTTTACATCTTCATCGCTCATTGTCCTTTTGTACACAAACGTTTTGCTGCCTTCCGCCCTAAAACTACCACACCCTGGACCGGTTTTCCTTGCACCGCAACATACCTACATAGTAGCCAGTCAACATGGACAGCGATGACAACACTACGCCGCCGGTTCGATATCTTAGTGGTCTTAAACTCTTCACCCTTCTCGGCAGTCTGACGCTCGTCACATTCCTGGTCTGCCTCGACACCTCCATCATGGGTACTGTATGTATCACCTGCGTCGCTGGTATGATGTTCTGATCTTAATGATATTAGGCAATACCACGCATTACATCCGAGTTCCACTCGCTTCCAGATGTGGGCTGTAAGTGTAACTGCGAAACCGCGATGTGAGACGCGTACTGACTTTGTATACCTGTACTTAGGGTATATCGGTGCTTTTACGCTCGCTTCGTACGTCGTGTTCTTCAAACAACTTTTTGTTTCCCTTCCGAGTCTGGGTGAACATTGTCGAAGCCTTTACTGACATTGCTAACAGAGCGACATTGCAACCGCTTTCCGGCAAACTCTACACACACTTCAACACCAAGACTGTGTTCCTCACGTTCGTATCTTTATTCGAACTCGGTTCCCTACTTTGCGGTGTCGCCAGCTCCTCGGCCATCCTCATCGCAGGAAGAGTGGTTGCCGGCTTAGGAGCGTCTGGCATCGTGAACGGCGCCATGACGATCTTAGCAGGGGCTGTGCCTACGGAGAAAAGTCCAAGTATGTTCTTAACTCCATGGAGGTCAGAAGGTTCATGCTAATGGTATGCGACAGTGTACACCGGTATAGTACTTGGGAGTAAGCGTGCTGTACGATAGAAGTCGGCATGAATGGATGCTGACGAGATGATAGCTGCGCAGATGGGCATTGTCGCAGGGCCACTCGTCGGAGGTGCTATTACTGAGCATGCGGTCTGGCGTTGGTGTACGTAATGTATCTTGTTGCATCGTGTTTTGATCTTCTGAAGCTGACGGCGACGCGAATGCAGGCTTTTACATGAACCTACCCATCGGTGGAGTGGCTGCCGCCCTCATCGCTTTCGTCCCCATTCCTGAACGCACGACGAAGCCGCGCATCACCCTGTCCCTCATTCGCACGATTATACCCGACCTCGATCTGCTCGGCTTTGCGCTCTTCGTTCCTCCGTCTGTTATGCTGCTCCTCGCCCTCCAGCTAGGCAGTGGTGGCAAGTACGCCTGGAGCTCCTCTGTCGTCATCGGACTATTCTGTGGTGCTGCAACATGCGCCGCCCTCTTCATACTTTGGGAGAGAAGAATGGGCGACCAAGCTATGCTTCCAGGTAAGCTGCTGGGACAGCGAATCGTCTGGACGAGTTGCGTGTACGCCAGCTGCATTATCACTTGTATGATGACAGCGAGTGTTTGGATGCCGACATACTTCCAAGCCGTGAAGGGCGATGGGCCGACCGACAGTGGTGTACACGTACTACCGAGTATATTGAGCCAACTTCTCGTTGTCATCGCCACGGGTGCTGCAGGTGTGTACCCGCATTACCAAACTCATGCTTTCGGTAGCTGATTGTTCATAGTATCTCGCATGGGCTACTATCTTCCCTGGGCGCTCGTCGGTGGTATCATCACCGCAATCGGCAACGGCCTCGTGTCAACGTTCACAGCATCTACGAGCGCCTCGGTCTGGATCGGCTATCAGATTTTGTTGGGCGCTGGCCGAGGATGTGGCATGCAGATAGTAAGTCCAAGTCCTGCACAAGTTCGGGTCGCATCATTGACACTTTCAGGCCATCATTGCAGTGCAGAACGCCGTATCTCCCGCCCAATACCCAGTCGCGTTAGCCAGTGTCGTCTTTTTCCAGAACCTCAGTACATCTATCGCGGTTGTCATTGCGAACACGATCTTCACGCAGACACTGCGCTCCGCCGTCACACGCTACGCGCCCACAATATCGCCCCAGGCGGCGGTTGATGCTGGGTCGAGTGCCAGTGCCGTACGAGCCCTCGTCCCGCCAGGAGAACTAGATGGCGTGCTGAGAGCGTACTCGGAGAGCCTTCGAGATGTCTTTTACTTCTTGGTAGGCATAGCATGTCTGGCTACCCTTGCCAGCTTGGGTATGGGTTGGAAGGATATCCGGAACAAGCGCAGCAAAACGGACATGAATGTGGAGATGGATGAGAGATGTGAGGAAGGGAAGAAGTGAGCGGGCCATGTAGATAGCTGACTGGAAGAGTGGTTTGGTGACTGAATTGGACTCGAGACGCTGGCCATGAATATTAATTATCTGGAGAGGAATCTACTTAGCAGCCACCATCCAATCGTAGATACGTTGCCAGATCTCATCACTGTTCTTCTCCATGAACATCATATGCCCATTGCCACGAATACCGACCTTTCCAAGCTCAAGATGATCAGCCTTGGAACAACCAGCTTGCTTGAGAAAGTTGACAGTACAGTAGTCGTACGGCGCGTGGTAGCTAGCTTCTGACGTAACGGTGAGAATGGGCAGCGGCGCAAGATTCGGAAGTCGTCTCGGGGCTGGCTCGGTTGCTTGCAACACGCAAGGAACAGTGGCATTGTTACTTGTCAGGTTGGTAGGCTGATAAACTTGTTGCACTAGGTCGACCGTGGGATCGGTCACTGGAGGCGAATAGTTCATCGGAATGTCTGTCAAGCCCTGTAGTTGTTGAAGTCAGCAGCTGTCTCGGATGCGGCTGGAATATTGGTAGACCTACCCATTTCCTCGCTGCTGCAGATCCAAAGACTGCTTCCTGGAAGGGCGGGCCCGTCGGCTCCAGCAAGAGAAGGCCTTTCGTGAGATGGGGCCGTGCATCAGCGATGAGCAACGGCAGAAGACCTCCTTGGCTGTGGCCAAGTAGCCAGGAGGGCGTACCGATTAAATCTAAAAGCTGTGCTCCTGCTGATTGCATGGTGCGTTGTTGATATGTGGCATTCGAGATGAACTGGACATTGGAGGAATAGAAAGCATCGAATGTAGGATCGCCCATGATGCCTGTTCCTGGCCATTGAGTGTGAAGGGTAGACTGAGGCCAGAGGCGGTATTGCTGTGGAGCAGTGAAGCGTTGTTGGATGAGCTCAGCAGAATAGGTCGACGGCGCATCAGCACCAGCCCTCGGTGCCCAAGCAGAGCGTCCGCGGAAGGTTTGATCTACGAGGTAGACGGTGTGGCCAGCCTCGAGGAATCGTGAGCTCCATGATATTCCTCCGTCCGGTTTCACGAGAAAGTTTGTGCCCGTCTGCCCTTGTCCGTGGATCAAAACGATTGGGTCCGTATCATGTTGTTTGGAGGACATTGGCGATAACTTTTCGACATACATTTGGTCCTTGAATATATGACCGCCCTTGCCGTCTTCGCTATAGCCACCCCCAACGTAGAAATATGTCCGGACTGCGGGTGTTTCCGTTTCCGCATGGTGATAGCTGTGCGCCGTCGCAAAAGAGATAAGCAGCGCGAGGTGGGGTAGCAGCATCGTGGCCTACTGATTTGAGTATTTCGTACTGAAGGAACGGATATAAGATGGCGATGAAGGGTGCGACGAGCCATTGCATCTGAGGTCGATTGCCGTGTGGAGTGGGCTTGGCTTGCAGCTTGTCGAGCTGTGCCTCGCTGATCTTTCTTGCAGGGGCCCAGCAGCTACGAGCCACACCTGGCATCCTCAATGCTGAGAAGTCGAGCGTGTCGGACAAAGGAAGTACCGAATTGCCACTACACATGTGGATGTAAAAGTCAAAGTCAAAGCCATAAGCTGCATTTTTGAAACATGCTGTTCAGAGTCTCCGCGTTCTCTGATCCTGCGGTTGTACCTCTACTCGCATAGCAGCAAATCTGCCATCCTTGCCCGTCTCTGGATCGAATCCGCTATACACCGCGTCCTGCTCTTCGCTTGTGACCCTTGCCAATTCCTCCGCACTCCCCGTACTCTTCAATGACGTGTTCCTGACCAACTCGAAGTTATCGCGACTATCGTTGGGGAGACGTTCGTGGTGCGTGACGCGGACCTCGTTCGTGACGAAGATTTGGGTCCAGGAAGCCATGACGGTAGGCCAGAATATGGGCATGGACGCACACATGATGGCGAAGTCGATTTCGAGACAGGAGATGATGAGGACTTCAGGGTACCACCATGTGAAATCGAAACTCTGGGTCATGCTCTGGCTGTTCTTGAAGGTGCTCCAAAGGCGGAGGATAGCCATGAGTACGACACTGCATCCGTCAGTGATGATGCTGGGGTATTCAGAGTCTGGACTTACATCGAACCGAGAGCGAATAGTCCAGTCATGGCAAGCACCTGTTTCCGTCTGAGATCTTTCCTAAAGTATTCGGTGATCGGGACGAGGAAGACGGCAATGTCGAAGGCCATATTCGTCGCAGCAAACGCGAGTATCGTGAATTTCGCCTCATTGATAGTGCGATACCCGAAACCGTAGCATTTAGAGCCAGGTTGTCGATCCCAGAAGTTCCTTACTGGAAAGCAGGGTACCCAAGCCATGAATGAGAAAGTCAGACCCCATATTATCACCAGCACCAGGAGTACGATGCAAATGATGCGGCGAACGCCCTGCTGGAAAAGTCTCAGGTACTGTAGAAGTAGTGATATCTTGATGAACATAGTGGTCGTATGATATGCGGCATTTGTGATATACAGCCAGATCATGGTTGGTTGCAACACTCGTAAGCTGTAGATGAGATGGTGACCCATGCCATAATTGGTGCCTGTGCGAGAAGTCAGCATAACGTCCACGGGTTCGAGATCGCATAAGCCTACCGTGGAGAAAGGATATGATTGATATCAAGTTGAATATAGCCGCTAGGACTACAAAGAGGTCATCGAGGCCAGGTTCACGAACAACTCGCAGGCGAGTATGAAGACGGAAGCCTACGACAATCCAGCATAGGATCTATAACAGTGAGCTTTCAAAACATTATACTGTCGAGACAGACCTACGTGGAATGGTATTGAGACGCCAAACATCGTGCCTTTTTCGTTTGCCAGCGGTAGTGGCGCATTTGGATTCGGGGGAGTTAGCATCATCTCCTCGACGATGCGAGTAAACTCGTCGGCCATGGCGGGCAAGTATCTCCGCTGAGCTTCGTTAAGATAACTAGGTGACAGATGTCGTAGTCTGCCTGCGTGCGAAAGGCATCGATTACTGAACCTGCGAACTGAGGAATTGCGACTTGCGCATCAGGTCATGTCCCTAAGAAAGGCTCTACCCCATGTTCACAAGTGGCAGAAACGCCCTTGTGCATGCTGGTCTTTCAGCCGGCTTTGCTAGCGATGCCGGCTGAGTCGCGTACGGCTATGGACGAGGGCGGCCCTTTCTCCGCCAAAACTTAAACTTCTGGAAACTCAAAGTTGACCCTATACGACTCAGTGGAGGGAGGCCCGCAACCACGTTCGAGCGCGGTGGGAAGCCGTTCGGACGGGAACGAGTCTTATTTCCTGAACTACCTGGGATTGCGTGTCGCCAGGATAAGCTGGCCACGATGGTGCGACACGCGAGGCACCGGTAGCCAGAAGAGCCGAAAAGCCAACTCGCAGATTGCGCAAGGAACTGTAAATTAGAATGACAGAGAACAATCGCGGAACACTATTTGGGCATTGGACTTTCGATCTCATGGAGAATCTCGATATCGCCACTTAGGTGTCCAGGTGGTTAGCTGTTGAGTCGACCGCGCCAACTCTTTCGCTGTCCTTGGTAGCGCATGACACATGGCGCAACCCTCAATTGCAGATCCGGATCGCCTGGAGCATCAGCAGTAGGCAGCACACATCCGTTGATGTGACCAAGGACATCCCCGCGGAGAATGCTGGGCGTGGGCAGGGGGAACTATCAAGCTCTGATCAAAGTTCAGAACCGGGCCTATCCGTGCCGATCTTGTGTAAACTGTTGAGCTGTGTGAGGCCTGAAAATGAACCTTCAGAGAGGCTTGAAGCAAGCTGGTGAAACCATCGCCATCACTACCAGCCGCCCTTAGCTAGCGATGCGGCACCTACGTCGCCGCGGTGAGGCCACGAGAATCATGATCGCGGATGATCTCAATTATTGCTCTCACCGGCAGCAGTGAATTGTCACAACTTCTGCAGCCACAGCGACGAGCGAAATGACGAAGTGAATGAAAGTATTCTGAGATTGAAGGACAAGATGCCCAGTCGACATTGGATGGAATCGACAATTCTATAAACCTGGTACTTCCCGTCCCTTTTACCCGCCAAACGCCCGTAGATGCAGCAAGCCACAACGCCATAACTCATGCGACATTGATCTCGTCATTTTTAACTTCAGTCGTGCATCTTCATTTCCTCGAAATCATCCAGCAGTTGTTCCATCGGAATCTGCAGGCCTTCATCCTCGTCGTCACCAAGACTACTCTCAGTCTCCATGGCATCTGCATCGCGCTGCTTCTGTTCCTGCTGCGCCTTGTACAGCGCCATAGTAGCGCGCAAGTCTTGGTCCTCCTCGACGTCCTGCAAGAACATCTCGAAGTCGCGCTCCATCTTCTCTTGATCTTGCTTACGGGGCAGCATCTCGCCTTCATCCTTGTTGATGCGCTTGACGCGCCAGTTGCGCTTGTTCTTGTTCTTCTTGGAGCGCTGGTAGTACTTCTTGACAAGCATGACATCTGGGATAGCGGCCGCGTACTTGTTGTTGTTCTCGAGAACGTCGAAGAGATCATTGTTGAAGTTGGTGTTGCTGAGTAGGTAGCCCATGACCGAGTCGCCAACGTGCAAAATACCGCCGAGATGTGTGCGGCAGTAGTATGTTGTGTCGTTGACGCCCATGTCGGAGGCGCGGGCTACGGTGGCTTCGGCGAGGAAGTGGCGGCCCACTGACTTGCCTAGAGGCTCGATGTCCAGAACAATGAACTCGGTCAGTTCCTGTACGTCTGCGAGGGGTCGGAAAGGTGTGCGCCAGTAAATGTCCGTGGCGACATCGGCTGTCTGGAGGGTTGAAGGGTCGAGTAGTTGTATGGAAGTACCAATGCGGGTGCAGAGTGTGAGCGGCGAGATGTTGCCGATCTTCTTTGCGAGGGGAATAGGGAGGACTACAAGATCGTCTTTGCAGATGGGTACGATTTCGCAGGAGAAGGAGAACTTGTAGTTCTTGGTCGAAGTGTGGATATCGTGTGAGATGAGTTCCTCGGAGCGCTTGATGTTGACTGGGATGACGGCCTTGAGG